TTTGACATACGTGGAAAGGAATAGACATCTTAACTTTGAAAATTACCTCCGAAACACAGATATTTTCCTAGTTATTTCTCGATGACACTGTTTGTTGACAAAGATGTTACATAGTAGTGCTTCTCTAATTGTAATTTCTAATTAGGGGCGGTTACTGAATTGGATGCACACGTGTTTTCGTAAATAAAGTCTGTTTGAGAAGTCTGGTAGTATTTAAACACAGAATCACTGTTGAGTGATACATACACGCAGGTGACAGTGTTATTCATTACGAAAGGACAAAACATTCGTCGGCAAAGATCCAAAGGCTAGTTCATGTCTAATGTTTAATTCATTCGTAGTTGTTCATGATGATTATAGCAAGAATAACTTGAAGGTCTTTTTCGTTTTACAATCCAGATGAATCGTGGACATTCTTCTTCAAATGATACAAGCGAATTTGTTTAAAATTCTCGTGAAAACATTACGAAATTGTTTTGGATCCCTATTTTTTGAACATTCTTACATCGACTTCAATATCGGCCTTGAAAATAAGGAAATTACGCAAAAATACCGTGATATTAAAATTTGGATAAACGCGGACATTTCGGTTGTCATCCCAAGAGTTAAAAAACATTTAAAATTTTTGAACGTTTACGTCATTCAAGATTGCTCGACACGTTCACTGACACGAGGATGAGGATTTCGATTGTTTTGTATAGTAACACTTATTCTTTTATAATAAAGGCAAATAGAATTACTAATAATTATTAATTATTTGACATAATAGTATTTTTATTCCACATCAATTTTCTCATTGCAATTGTCTTCAAGCAATTTGGGCGCTCCAGTGATCGATGACCACCCTGGCAATCTACGTGTTGAAGACTTAGCTTTAAAACCAGAAAACAAGCTTTACTGAGGTTTACAGGCTCGATAATAAACTCATTGTCGGTCAGTGTAGAATAGACGCGTAAAAATAGGCGTAAAAATGCATCGCTGCACTACGGGAGCGACCGCGGCGCGACTTTTTCAAAGTTTCCCCGGAAAAGTCAACTTTCACTTTGGTCACGGGCAGTTAATAAAAAGCCGCGCGCGACGGACTGCAGTTATCAAGTGAAATCTTGAATTCCGCGGCCGCAGAAAAAGAGGACGCGTACCACTATTAAGGAGAAACAAAGGAATCCAACTTATATCGGTATTTTACGGAGAACAGAACGAAGGAGAAGAATTTCACGCGGTCTTGCATACCGGGTGCACGACATAACTTAACCTCGAATAACAGGAACGATGAAAGAAACAAAAACGACCGTGCATTTGTGCGATTCAAGAGTGCAGATTATGTTATTTGTATTTTGTTTAATTTACTTTGATATGCTTTAGGTATTAGGTTGGCTGAAAAGTCGTGTCGCTTTATTTTTCAGTATGGCGTGTATACTATAATGTACAAATAAACATTCGAAATAAGTAAATTAAAAAGCAATAGAAAACTTCCGAATAAAATGTACGAAGTCTAATTTAACACTAGAACTACCAGATGGGTCAAAGTGACCCATTCCTGATGTCTTTATACAATTACTGAGAAGGTACAGATGCTTCTCTGAGAAATCGTTAAAGGAGCTGATTTAGTAATACCCACACTGAAATATAAATCAATTGAAATCTTAATAAATACACAGTTATAAGTTTTAGGAAGAAATTTGAAAAGGTCGGTTTAAGTGCTTGGTAGTTCTAGTGTTAACAAAGTGAAACTTCTTTCTACATTTGATTTGAAACTGTGACGAGGCCTCTTCGTACGAAAGTTTTCACAGTCTGGAAGACAGTGCAATGCTCTAAATAATTTCGTCACGTGTTCGCTAGAAAGGATTTTCGGGCAGTTTTATCGATTTAAGTCGTTTTGCCAATGCTGCCGAGCAATTATTACCATATTCGATTGAATCAATTCGTTCCAGTTACTTTAGCTTTCTGCTGATCGACAGATTCGTTTTCGTTGCGCCGTGTTCATTCTAGCAATTATTAAATGATCAGTCATCGCTAATTGCACCCGGAGAACTCTTAATCGATCGTGATCTCGAGTGCCAACAGTCCTTTCCCCGTGTCTATTCACTTTCCTCCGATTCTTGCTGCTATTTACGGGACGGCAATTACTCGGATGCTTTGGTCACGGTTACCATGTAGCACAGACAGGAGAATTCGATCGGCTTTCACCGAATAACTTATCTCCCTCGCAAAAAAACGTTCCGTGAATCTCACGCACACGCGTGCACCGGCAGGGAAGTGGGATCTCAATCAAAGTTAACGATCGCTGTGTTCACGCTAAACCGTTTCGAAACTTCGAAACATCTTTTTATAAACTTTTAATGGCTGGTTGCCGGACAAGATTTCTTGTGTTCTTTTTTTCTCTCTCCTTTCTTTCGAAGAGAATTAATATCGCGTCTATTCCTCGTGCCTATTATTAGAGACATCCTGTGGAGAATATATAATTATGATTTACATTATTTTCCTGATTAGAGCCTGTTCCTTTGAGCGATATTATTATCCTGGACTTCTTGTTCGCGGAGGGATTGCTTTTTATTGCTGCGTTTAGGTTACCGTCCTTTCAATTAGGAGATCCATAAAATTCGTATAGCGACATTTATACAAAAATCGTTTTGTTTGAAATTGAAAGTGAAAGATACACACATACCATTCTACTTTCATTCTCGTTATCAGCATCATATTCTGAATCTTAAAGAGGACTGGGCGTGATGCTAAGATCGAATGGTGAAATTTGTATTCATCCGTTTTGTGAAATTAGTACCTGTGATTTTACAATATTATTGTTACACGATAAAAGTCGGTTGAAATATTAAAGTCTCTAATCTAGCCCTAAGAATGAATGATTTAAAAAAATAAATTATAACATAAACTATGTAGTTTAAAGTAAGTGTACAATTTTGTATATCCTTGAAAAGTAAATATTTCTATGTATTTTATTTATTGCTGTTACGTCAACGCAGTAATCATCGTTCCCAAAATAATTGGAATGATTTTTTTGATTTGTGATGAACATATTGTACGGGTGCAATAAGCTCGTATAAAAGTAACAGAAATACGAATGAAGTATTTCAATATTATAATTATCAGTGGCGGTGATCATATAATTTAAAATCGTTTGGAACGATGCTATTTGATGCGGAAACATTCCGGGCGTTGTGGAGAGTGTAAAAATGATAATAACTAATCTGTGGAGGAAAGCATGAGTACCAGAACATTTTCCTATCATTTTGTATTATTTTATAATTTTCAATGTTCTTGTTGGGGAAAGTACTTGTGGAATTTCTGACGTTATTCCGGATTTTAATTATTATTCAACTGCGCTGACTTTCCTAAATTAGTTTGAAGTACCATATAAATGATATATTATGTTAAATCATTATAGAAATAAGAATTCGTGTCTTGAAATTTTACCATCTGAATTGGCAAACTTGAATTTTATTATTTCAATTTGAATTTCTGCACTGGAATGTCAATCTTCGAAGTGAAACATTGAAATTCGAATACTTGAATTTGGACACTACAATTTAAACTCTTGAACTTCAATACTTAAACTCGAAAACTTCCATTCAATCATTCAAAGTTGAATACTCGAGTTTGTTCGTTTGAAGTTAAACGTTTAAAGTTTAACTTTCAATTCCTAAATTCGACTATGCGTGTCTTTATTTGAATGACTGTACGAATTGAAATCTTATATCTGACTTGAAGTAGTTGATTAAATACTGTATCATTTGATTTACATTCCTAACCTCATTCGGTTTTTACGAGAGAAACCGGTTCCCCGAATTAGCCCAATTGGAATTTAGTCTCATTTAAATTTCATATCGACCGACGACGTCGTGGTCTCGTACTTTTTTAAGGACAACATAGTTTCAAAGAAGAAAGTACCGAAGGAAAGTATCAAGGAAGAAGCAGGTCATTGAAGCCATGTGCATATGCACACGAGCATAAGCAGCTTGACCTTAAATGTCCGACTACATATTCTCGCTGACATAATGATAGTTGTGCGAATCGTGTCTGAATGCCTGACATCAGGAATGACGTAAATAACAGTGTCATAAAGCAGGATACGCGGTGAAAAGGGAATCATTACGTATAATACCGAGGAACGTTGCTTGCCCTGCGAGAAAGATATGTCCTAAAAGTATGACATGATACGACAATTATTACCGTGTTCACGTGTAATCCTAACTTACAAGGCTTTCAAATCAATTTTTCTCCATACCATCGCCGTAATCAGAATTCCGATGCTAAAATCTCGCAGTTTTCTTAGCATTATCCCTATTTATACTTCGTTATCCCTATTTATTGCGGAAATAAATTATCATATCCTGTTGAAGCGAAAGTCTCCATGGGTCCCCCTTTTCAAGTGATAATGTTATTATAATCAATACAAAGAATATTTCAGTGCCTTCATTTCATTCTCCATTCTAAATCAATTTAAACGCTTAGTTAAGTAAAAACGTCGAAATTTTATTATACGAAAGAAAAGTTAGTCCTCATGTTAGCAACCTGGGTATCCATTTTGGAATCTTCACGTAATTTTGCTATTCTCCTGAACATCAGATCGAATTGCTTCGCATCGCCATTTTTTGAACATTTCTGCGTCGATCTGTGTTTTGAACATAGATAATTTGCACAAAAATATTGTGATACCAAAATCTGTGTGAATGTAGACATTTTGGTTGCCATCGTGAGGGCTGACGCGTTGAACGCCACGGGGGTCACCGATGACCCCCAACCAAATCGAATTACTATAATTCGCTGAATGAAGCGATGATTATATGAGAACATTCCTGTATTTATAAATAATGCTAACTAATCCGATTCAGTTAAATAATTTGAATATTATATTCATTTCATTTTGAGTATTTTCTCCGTGAAATCGTGGGTCATTTAGCTTTTTAAGGAAACAATGATATCTATTCTAGAATGTTGTATCCTGTACTACGTTGCGTGTAATTCGAAACGTTTTCGTGTTTTAGGTACAATGGAAAAATGGGAATCTTTAACGTCCAAAGTCGAAGAAGCTCAACTGGCTCGTACGCTTCACCGCGAGTTAACGGCTTTACACACGGAATTCAAAGCGGCTCACAACAGACTCTTCTCGTACGAGATCGTTTTGGAGCAGCCCCACGTAGTGGACGAGCAGATTAACCGAATTACGGTAAGAATATCATATTTCTATGGCTGCATATAGCAAACTTGTAAATCGATACCTTCTACGGGGGGTTTCGTAATGTGCGGACCATAACCGCGAAATTCAATTAAGCATATAAAGTGAATGAAAATTTTCAGATAAAAGTATCTCCGATTCGCGTATCCCTTCTTGTTATGTGTTGCATGGTGCAATGTAATGTAATATAAAATAATGAACAGGTATACTTGAACGTGCGTGAACACATTTGAAGGACTGTACCTGAGCGAATCGTTGTATTATTTAATTGTTTATTATTGATGAATATTTACTAGTATTGATATTTTTTGTTATCATAATTGTGGCAGTTATCGTTATTTTCTTGTGTTTGCCCAATTTTTACCAGTTTCGATTGTGCGTGATTTCTATGAAAATGCTGCACTCAAGCTAGCTTTTATTTGCGTAGAAACTGGAACAGAATAAAGTTTTATACGTATTAAGTCCTTTTCGAAGTGTTACCAAGCATGATGTTGCTCCAAAGATTTTTACTTGATAATTCATGAAAGTGGCACAAAACCCCAATAATTTCGTATCCTAGTTAGGTGGAAAAAAGAGAAATGATAAATTTCTCGCGAGCAACAAGTGAAATCAAATTGAAAAGTAGGTTATTTCAAATAATATTTCGGTTCTTTGCTTTCATTATGGCTAATCAATTATGCAGAAAATATCGATTCAGTTGAAATATTATCGTGCATTATCACACAGTGTTGAATATCGGTTTGCAATATCAGTTATACGATGAATGATTTTAGTATTTTTTTATTTCGGAATTTAAAAAAGGAATAATTCATAATATAATAAAACTAAAAGATTTCATTTTAAGAAAATTTTATAACCTTAAGCAAATCTGTTTTTTTATTTAATAAAATTTAACAGTAATACATTTCTGTTTTGGATTATCTGATGTAGTGATAGAAGAAAATAAGCATTTTACTATTATAAACAAAGACAAAGATATATTAGTAAAATAATCATTTTTGTTTTTCATAAAACGAATAAAAATTGAACGAAAACACCAAACATGACACCACAGTATCAATTTAATTATTTTAAAGAGTATTTCGGCATTTTATCATTTTAGATACAAGATTAAAATCAATTTTTTAAGTAAAACAATAAAGAGGTATTTTTAATACGATATATTATTTAAAATAACATTTTAAAGTATTATTTCAAATGTACCTTTATCTCAGATTTAATAAGTAAATCAGAAGATCAGTTACCATCGGTATAAAATCTGTTTTACCGTCCGCGTTTGAATCAGTTGAATTTGAGGATAAATATATCCTAAGTTATAATAGATGTGATAGAGGAAAATGATAAGTCTAATAAATTTGTTGTTAACCGTTGGATTTTAATAAAATCCATAAAATTTAATCTTGAATAAGATCCACGAATTTGAGATAGGTTTCTACAAAAGTAAGTAGGGTCGGTAATGTTTGGTAGTCGGTAAACATATTTTCTTCTATCGATAACATACCTCATCACTTTGGTAATGGAACGTAAAGTTCATTGTTTATCAGATTTTGTGACCAACAGATGGCGTGTACCTATCCATTTCTTATCAGAAGATAAAATATAATTTAGAGAATCCAATTCTATATAATCTTATACAGTGAAAGTATTTCATATAATGATGACATTATTTAATGTAAATCTTAGGACAGAGTTTAATTTATTCATTTTCGAAACACGTCAGTTAATATTCATGATAAGATCTTGTTAAATTTGATAAATTTTTGCAAGCATTTTATTAATAAACGATACATCATGAGTACATAGATTTTATATATCCATGGTACTATATTAATTGATGAATACTTTTTCTGCTATTAAACTTTTATTTCGTAAATTGAGGTAATAATTTTACGGAAGAATGTAGTGTGCGATTGTTAACTGAAATCTTACTCTCAAACATTCGCGAAACTTTCGTTTAAACTTTCTTACATATTAGACAAGTTAAGTTAATATATTTGTAAACAAATTATCGTAATCTTAACTTTGCAGTAATAGCAATTTATAAACAAAGACCTTATCCATTTGAAACTTCATTAAAATTATTTCTAATATCAGATAAGTCCATCCATAAGCGTCGCAAATACTCAAAACCTGAATTTCTCAAATGACCATCAAAACTTCAAATATACCAATTATTCATCGCACAGTGAACCACCCACGATCCTCCATTCATACACGAAATTGCAAACATCCCTCATATAAAGATCACCTAACGACCAAACAGAGTAATGCAGAGCTAATTGGTCTTCACCTGTCCTCTTCCCATTTTCGATGCCAATCTTCTATTCACCAATACGATTACACACAACCAATCGAACCTGTATCCAAAACACTCAGCCCAAAACCGTCTCAAGCCCTCGCACCCTCCCGCTAATCATCAAATCATCTCACAACGGTACCTCATCGACTCATTCCTCACCGGAAATCCATCACGCTTAAATGAAGACCCCAAAATTATGCTAGACATAACAAACAGCTGTCATCCTGCGAAATCGTTCTGGCCCGATAAAAGATGTCCGCCGTGGAAGTATAACAAAGTCGACGCGGTTGGAAGATCGAGGACTGTGCCCGAGATGAAAGTAGGCGAAATAGAAGCAAAGGAAAAGAGCGTGGCTGCGCCTGGAAAAGACGGGGACCGTGGAGAGAGGCGGCGGTGCGCGGTGAACGAGGGCGAAAGGGAGGAGTATAAAGGGTGGTACAGCGGCGGCGGAGGGCGGGCGGGAGGAGGGAGCAGTCAGGAGGCAAGGATAGAGGCAGAGAGTGGCGTAAAAGCGTAGTCGTGTCGCACGTACGCTCGTCTGACGGCGACGTGCTCCGCATCGCAACACGCGAGCGGTACGCCGGCGAACCTAGCCAACCCTCTGAGTCCCACCCCCTCGGAGGCATCCCCTGCCAACCCTCTCGATCCCTCTCACTCCTCTCTTTCTCTCTATCTCTGTCTCTTCCCCTGGAAACCTCTGGAACACCCTCGTCTCCTCCTCCTTCCTGTTTCTCCCACTTTCTTCCTCCGTTTCGCTTCCACACCTACGCTTCCTCAGCCGGATCTTCCTCGTTCAATCATTTTCTCCGATTCTCCTGTGCCACGGAGGCTCTCCTCCTCATTTTCGCCTTTAGACTCTTCCGCCCTCCCAGACTACCCTTCCCTTCTTCGTTTTCTTCTTCTTGTCTGCTAGGCTTGCCTTTCCTCTTTTTTCTCGATCTGTGTATGTCCCTTTTCTTTTGTTCCCTTGTTTTCAAGATCTCTTCCTTGGTTTTGTATCAATTTTGTTTTCTTTCCTTTATACATATCTACTTGTTTCGTTTCTATTCCTTGTATAACGTTTATTCCGTGTTTCTACTTCTCTGTTGGCTTTGCTGACCGTGTACACCTTCCGCCGCATTGGTCATTTTTCTTTTCATTCCGTTTTCCCTCTTTCCGATCGTGTACATTAGTTTCCTCTTGTTCTTATCCTCTTCCTTT